GTTTTTCCAACTGAATGTATTCCTATTCTTTGGGTAGGTACCCAAGGGCCAATGAATTGGATGAAAAAAAAAGTTGCATATATACACTATGGAATATTACCCATAAAAAATGAGACCCTGGCGTTTTATAGAAAATGGATGAATATGGAATATTTAATGCTTAGAGAAGCAAGCCAGACTATGAAAGAGAGGCGTTGTATGTCCCCACTTAATATATACCAAATGTCTACACTCCGTGGCAGAAACCAAAAGATTGGAAGGTATAAAAGCATGAGAGCAACTGTGGATACTAGAGACAGTGTGGGAGGGTGGGAAATGGGGGCCAGGAGGCAGGGAATCAAGGAGAGAAAAAAAGGCAAAACATTTAGTGGACAAAAATGGAAACTTATCTTTTGATGATAATGCATATGGTAATATCATTGACTGGACTAATATAAAATGTATTCGTGCTACAAAAGTTGATTTTGTATGCTGTAAAGATGTACAATGATTCAGGGACCAGCAGTTAGCATAACGGCTGTCACTGGACTCCCATGTAGTCATTGGCAGTTCGAGTCCCAGACCCGGTGGCTTAAACTCACGCTGGGCGGGTGTGCATGTGTGCCCAGGATCCTGAGGGGAGAATGGAGGAGAAGGGATTGCGGCGTGACCATCCCCCCTGGGGAGGGGGGTGATTTCTCACTTTCTGTCTCTCTGTCTCTCTCTTGTCTTTCTGGCAAGTGCATGCACCCTCTAGCAAAAACCTCTCCAAAAAAAAAAAAAAAGTACAATGATTAAATATAATAAAGTAAGAAAAGAAAGAAAGAAAATGCAGTCACAGGTGGACATCCTTACTTGTGTAATCTAGATATTCTCTATGCCCTTGGGAATTATATTCCAGAATGACACAGGCGTCTTATATAGCATAGAAAGAATTTGTTTAGTTAAAGGGAAAAGCCCTCAGTTGTTTGGAAAATCGATTCTGTAGACCCCCAAAGAGTAGAAAACAAAGATCCAATATCTTCAGCATTGAGTTCCCACTATAACTCCAAGATTTAGATTCCTGCATAGACCCAGGATTTTTGCTATAGGGCTTGCGCCCTAGACAGAGAGATAAAGAGACAGAAAGTAGGAAATCATTACCCGGGGAGGATGGTCACACCACAATCCCTTCTCCTCCATTCTCTTCCTGGGATTTTGGGCATGCACACACACATCCCCAGTGTGAGTTTTAAGCTGCCAGGTCCAAGACTTGAACAGCAGTCAACTACATGAGAATCTAGCAACATAACCATTACACCATCTGCTGGTACCTGAGTAAGCCACTTCTTTTTTTTTTTTTTTTTTTGGAGATTTTCCTTGTTGGGCCGGGTCG